TCTCTCTGGTTTGTGATTCCTTTGGTGAAGATGATGGCATCAGAGCATTTCTAAACATGTTTGAGTGCAAGGCTTGGCTGTGATGTCATATTTCAGGTCATGTGGCTTGAATATGCTGAAGTGAGCAACTGTGAACTGCCTAAGTGCAATACAAGTCCATGATGTATAGTTCCCTTTTCTACTTGAACACATTCGTGTGCAGATGCTGTTTAACCTCAAGGTGTATTTAAAAATCACCAACAACTGTATCCAAACTTTCTCAATAAAATTTGTTTAAATATCTTACCTGCATCGTGTCTCTCAGTTTGATGCACTGAAAAGAACACCATGAACCTGGCAGTTACTGGAACAGACTCCAGAGGATTAAAGGAGTGGAAGGGGAAGAATGATTCTCAGAGCCGGGACGCAGCAGAACTCGAGGTGAGGAGCGAGGCCAGAAGGCTGGAAGTGTCCTCACCTTGTGGAGGCCTGCTATGGCTCTTGGTCATCCTGTGACCTCGATAACATGTCTTGGAGTGTTTAGCCCAGATATTTCCATTAATGCCAAACTGCTCTTCCGTCCTGTTCTCCACGGATGGTCTCATATATGAAGCGAAGATCCCAGCCTCCAGCATGAACCTCGCCCCCTTCTGGAGGCTTCCCTCTCGCCAGGAGCAGTCCTTCCTGCCAAAGGTCTCCACGCCCAGGCCCACTCATCCTGCCTTCCTGCTTCTCGCCCCCTTCTGGAGGCTTCTCACCAGCGCAGCCTTTTCATGTCGACTCCCAAGTGAGGCCTCACACGCATCCTCTGGTCCCTTCTAGCCTTCTCCATGATGCCTGCAGTGAGACCTCCCTCCTCCCTATCTGGCAGATGGTGTCTAGATGCTGCCAGGGGCTTCTCACTGAATACGGCAGAACTACCAGCACCTCAGACTCAGCACAGAAAAAACGAGCCACCCTGCCCTCCCTGACTGCACCTCTACTACTGATTTCCATCAGGACTCTCTAGGATTCTAAGAAAACCACACTGCCTCGCCACCTCCGTTTCCTGGGTCCCTGCCACAAGGTCTTCCTCCTTCCTTTGAAATCTCTCAGACTCTCTTTTCCCTCCTAGGACCCCGTGGAAGGCCGCAGCGCCCCCAGCCAGCAAGGCCACCTCCCCCCAGAACCCCTCTCCCAAACACACACACACTTCTGGCCCTGGCAGGGGAAAGGGTTTCCACTGAACCCAGCTTCTGCCCAGCCCCTGGGAACACCTGCCCTGGTTCTCGCTCACCTGTGCTGCCCTGACCTACCCAGCCCAGACTCCCGCCTCTCCTGCGTCCCGAAATCTGCCTTCATCCGATGCAGCTCGCACCCTTCCAAGCAGCCCCACATGGGCGGGCAGCTGTGGATGACAGTTCTGCACCGACCAACCCTGTCCCATGTCTGCTTCCCTTTCCTCCAAATACCCTGTTTCCACACTTGGCTCTCTGGCTCAGGCCCCCCAGGTGGCTCCTGGGTCTTCTCAAGCTCTCTTCTGACCACTCTGGAAACGTGCAGTCTCTCTCCCTCCTCATTCAGTCTCTGCCCTGGATATGGCAATAAGCAAACTCCATGAGTCCAGACCAGAGATACAGACGGCAAGGAGTGAGCAGACACAGCAGGCAGGAATCTAGGGACAGCCGCTCACTGTTTCTCATTCTGTACCCAAACAATAAGTAAATAATAGCACCTTAATGTGACTCTGGTTCAATGAAACTCTTGGCTCATCCAGCGCTACTTTCGGGTAAAAAAAAAAAAAAAAAATCAGCCAGGCTCGGTGGCTCAGCCTGTAATCCCGTGCTTTGGGAGGCTGAGGTGAGTGGACTGCCTGAGCCCGCGGGTTCGAGACCCACCTGGGCAACTTGGTGAGACCTCATCTACAATAAATAAAAAAATCAGCCGGGCGTGGTAGCGCATGCCTGTAATTCCGGCTACTCGGAAGGCTGAGGCAGAAGGATCGCCGGAGCCCAGCAGGTCGAGGCTGCGGTGGCCGGGAGCGGCCACTGCACTCCAGTCTGGGCGACAGAGTAAGACTCCAACTCAAAAAAAAAAAAAAAGAAAGAAACGAAGCAGCTGAATATCTGTGAACCTCGGCCAAACCTCGCCCTCATGCAGCTGTTGATTAGGGATGCACCACAGACCCAAATGCAAACTATGCATGAGAGACTCTGTATGTCTTTGAGCTTGGTGATGGGTTCTTAGACTTGGGAAGAGGCAGGATCCATTTAAGAAAAAACTGATAACCTGGATCTCATCAAAATTTAAATTTTTTGCTCTACCAAACACATGGTTTCAGGAACAAAAGGACGAGCTGCAGACCAGGAGAAGATATCTGCAAATCACCCATCTGACAAGAATGTGTGTCCAGAACACAGAACACTCAAAACTTAATCCTAAGAAAACAATCCGTTGTAATAGTTGGCAAAAGACACGGATGGATGCTTCCTCGAACAGGATGTGAGAACAGCGAATGCATGTAAAAAGATGTTCACACCATGAGCCCTCAGCAAAGTATAAACTAAAGCCATGGCAAAGACACCACCGCACACCTGTCAGGGTAGCCAGAATAGAAAACACTGCCACCAAGACCCTGCTGGCAGAGACACAGAACCAGGGGACTTACACAGCACTGACCAGAATGTGCATGGCACAGGCACTGTGGAAATTGGACAGTTGATTACACAGTGAGGCTCACACTTCCCATGTGATCCAGCAATCGGGACAGATACTCTAAAGAAACAAAAAGTATGATTACACAACAATGTGTATGGGAATGTTTTAACAACTTTATACATAATTGCTAAGAAATGGTAACAACCCAAGTATCGCTGGGATGAACGGATAGACAAAATACAGTCTGTCCACACAGAGAACACCACTTAGCAATAAGCAGAGGGAAGTTGGGGGCGAGGAGAGGCAGAATCAAGGGGCAGGGGAAGGGGTTCTTCTGGGTGGCGGACTACTGTGTATCCAGATCAGGGGTGGGGTTTCACTATGATAATTTTAAATAATGTTAAACAATAGTATTGAAGAGCTAAAAACCATTAAACAGCAAACACATGTATGTAGCCTTCAGGCATTTCTATTTTAACTACCAACACTGGCATTTCAGATAGACTGCAAACAATAATGTTCATATTTTTCCTGCTGATGAAGAATGTAGTTTTCACTTTACAATTTCATTTAAGTGAAGGTTAAATTACACACAGGATGGGGTTGCCAGATTTCACAAATAAAAATAAAGGAGCCTAGTTAAGCTTAATTCCAAATACAAATTTAGTCGAGTCCCCACTACTACCCCTGGTGACTTTTAAGATTTTTCTTGGTCGGGCTTGGTGGCTCAGTCTGTAGTCCCAGCACTTTGGGAGGCCGAAGCTAGTGGATTGCCTGAGCCAGCAGGTTCGGGACCAGTCCAGGTAATTTGGCGAGACCTCATCTCTACAATAAATAAAGTTTTTAAAAATTGGCTGGGTGTGGTGGCACGTGCCTGTGGTTCCAGCTACTTGGAAAGATGAGGCGGAAGGATTGCCAGAGCGCAGGTCGACACTGGAGTGGCCGTGAATATGCCAAGGCACTCCAGCCTAGGCAATAGAGTGAGACTCCAACTCAAAAAAAAAAAAAAAGGTTTTTCTTTTTTGATTTTCATCAGGTTTTTAGTTTTTTTCTGAGTCGGAGTCTCCCTCTGTCACCCAGACTGGAGTGCAGTGGCATGCTCACAGCCACTGCAGTCTCAACCTGCTGGGCTTAGGCCATCCTTCTGCCTCAGCCTTCCAAGTAACTGGAATTACAGGTGTGCGCTACCACACCTGGCTATTTTCATTCATTGTAGAGATGAGGTCTCGCCAAGTTGCCCAGGATGGTCTCAAATTCCTGGGCTCAGGCAATCCTTTCACCTAGGCTTCCCAAAGTGCTGGAATGACAGGTGGGAGCTACTACACTGGACTTCCTGTTTTAATTGATGTATTAGGTGTGCCTTTCTCTTTTATTCTGCTTGGGGTTCACTGAGCTTACTGGATCTAGGTAATTTAGGACTTTATTTCCTCATCTCTCTGCCCTATTTTCCTTCTTCTGGAAGTCAGTTATATATGTTAAGCCGCCTGACACTGACCCCATGGCATCAAGGCACCGTACTTTTTCTCCCTGCCACCCTTCTTCCTCTGATTGGATGATGCTTCATCTGTCATGTGTACTTGACCGATAAGCCCATTTTTTTGTTTCCAAAAGCTGCTTTAAAAGTCCTCATCTGCTGATTCACGAATTCCAGTATCTAGTTTGCTAGAGACTCCACTGCTTTTTATTTATTGCTTACCATAGGCCATAATTTCTTGTCTTTGGATGCTCCCTAACGTTTTACTGTACTGTTATGCTGTTTGCCAGCCTTGTTCTAATGTAAACCACTGGCTAATGACTTCAACCTTCTGAGTCCTGATTTTCCCTCACGTCAAAAGTTCTGTCCATAGTTTCAGTGCAGATCTCGAGCCCTATCCTTTCTAGCACGCGGCCATTCTGGGTTTTGGCAGGAAGCTCGGTTCCCAACAAGCTCTTCTGACTTGCCAGAACTCAGGCTTGACATTCCATCTCTTGAAGCAGGTAACAGCATGCCCAGCTCAGCTCCTCGGTCTCCCTGCTGCAGCCTCCACAGGGTGCTGAGTCTTCAGGGATTGCACAGTGTGGAGCCAGTCAGGGAGACAGGGACAGAGAACACGCAGATTGGAGGTGCCTCTCCTTCTATGACTCACCTCCGGCAGCCTTCAGTTCTATCCTAACCTGAGCCAGCAAGAATGCCACCTCCTTCCCTCAGGCACTGACCTCACCTTCTAAGACAGTCTGGGAAGGGCTGAAGGGAAAAGCCACATGCATAGCTCAAGGTCTGGCCACCCCCAGTGTCCAAAAAGGTGTTCATCATATTCTCTCTGGGGTTCATAATGGACAGTGTTTTCCACCAGCACTAAAAACCAGAGTTCCTTCACCTTTTAATTCTTAAATATTTAGTTTAACACCTCAAAAGAAAATAATATGGAACTGCTATTTGAATGTGCTGGTGCTCTCCCCTTTTGTGTTCAACAATGAAAATGGAATGTTCCATATATGTTAAAATATCTTTGGTCTAAAATGAAATAAAACAATCTCTCCCTCACTGACAATCCCAGGAAGTAGAAGGATCTTTGTTCAATTTTCAGTGAATCTGCTAAGCAAAAAGTTCAGGTAACCAACCAAACTAGACAGAATAGGTTGCTTCTATTCCAAACTGGCAAGTATAAATTCTATAGTCTAGAAATGTAACACATGACTACTCACATATCTAGAGAATGGCACATTAACTAAATTAAGTGATGTGACAAATCTGGACTAACCCACCGTTGTCTTCAAACTTAAATTTTTGTAAGTTGTATTTTATAGCTGGCAAGTTTTCCATTTGTTTGTTTGGATGTGAACGATGCTATTTAAAGCCAAACAGCCAAATGTACATGGCTGGCTGGACATTTACAATTAAATAATTAAACAACTTCCCAAATACAGCAGACTACAAGCCACATGTTTAGGACATCAGCTAACCATCAGCCAAGGTGGAAGGGCATCATCGTTTGGGGCTTGTGCTCGGCTGAGCTCTGAGTAGGAGGCTGCTGATGGAGATTTACTCCTCCCACCTCTGTTGACACACACTAGGGCCAGCTGCTGTCTGGACAACTTGTCCTGCAGTCAGGGCAGCTGACATTTTAAGAAAGAAACTTATGTGATGTGAACTGTCACCAATCTTTCATTTGCTTTTCTCGCCACTCATGACATTTCTTACCTTTAAAACTGGGACTCAAGTGATTTACTTTCCAGTTACCTCAGAGTTATGCTCTGTGACAACCGCCTTATGTAAGCTGGCTCATAAATAAAAACCGCTGTTAATGGACTCTGCCAATGGGCATCTCCCCACAGGCTTTCCAGCCTGGCCTGCTTTGGCACATATGTCTTGAGAAGCTGCCCAACTAGTGGCAGCTGATGACCTCACAGCCCATGGCTGCAGGAAGCCCAGCGCTGCTGACTCACCTTTCTCTTTGGTCATGGGTTTTATACTTATTAGACAAACAAAAAGACCTGTTTAATTTGTTATACAAATATGTCTACATCCATATATGGCTGAAATTAATGTCAGACAGCAGAGACTGTCTGTACTCAGGGTCCATCGATGCACTGGGATTCTGAGCTGTTTTCTGGTATGGAAAACAAACTTAACATCTCCGTTTCCAGCGGATGCAAGTTGCCTCCTGTGATAATCAGGGAATGCAGGGGTCCTCCCAAGTCCACGGTGCACATCTGCTGTAAAGTGCCTGCTGCGATTTTCTGGTCCTCGGCACCAACCCTGGCTAAGCCAACACAAAGTGTTTCCTCGGTGATTGCTATTTAAAAAGAAAAAAGATACTGCCACTCAGTTCAGCAAATACATTGTCCTGTCCAATACTCACAAGTATAGCAAGTACATTTAAAGAAACCCCACATACCTTAAATCTGCTCAGCCGCTCATGGACCAAGTATCCATGATCCACCCAAGGTTTTTCTAAATCATCTGTGCTATCTGACATATGAAAATGTACTCCCCACTTTATTTAAGCTTTCAGAATTCCAAAGACGGACATGAGTTTAAGTCTTTAGGACCTAACAAGCTACATCCATAGCTTTGCAATTGCAGAGCATTTGTCTTTAAATAGATTCTGAGTAGGCAATGTTTATGTCACATTATATTTTTAATAACTTGCTTGAGAGATGTTCATATTGACCCAGATATACTGGAAAAAATTTGAGATTATGAGGTAAATACACAGATTGGAGTTTTCTGCTTTGCTACCTAATTAGCTATGTGACAAACTTCAGGTTTTTCATTTTTTATAATGTAATTCTCTCTTTCTTTAATGGTGGTGGTGAGGGCTGAGGAAATGAGTATGAAAGTATTGAGTAAACTAGAGATCTCTTAACAAACAGTGAGCGCTGGGCATCGCTTATGCTTTTAAGTTCAAAACAGCCAACTTTCACATACTTGAGTATTACTTCCTCTGACGCTCAAACTGAAGGGCTGCCCCATTAAAGGTTTGATTGCTTTGTGGCAGGGCAGTTGTCCTGGTTGAACAGTGATCAAAAGGTGCAAACGCATTATTCTAGAACAAGCAGGAGTGCAAGGCACTCTGCAGTTACGGATGTGGAATACCTTGAGGCTACCTGGTGAACGACTGCACCGAGGCCTGCCAATGAGAAGAGAGTAGGCAGTGGCCACTCAGGAGGCTCTTACTTCATCTATTCTATCAGGGATAGGTACTCAGAGGCAAACAGCCCCTTGTAATAGCCTGTAATGAAAGGTTCATTTAAGAGCCCCTCAAGAAAGATTTACTGACAATAAGCATTTTATAACACACCATGCAATGTGTCTACACATTAGGAATCTGAGGATAAATGCTCTTGTCTTTACCATGATGAAAACTATTCATGGTGTCAGTACTGAGATTAAAAAAAGTAGAATAAACATATAAACAGGGCAGACAGATGTCACCACCAATTAGGGCTAAAATGAAAGTTCTGTATTTTATCAAAATATTTATACATTAACATATTTATATCAAATCTGATTTATATTTAATTTGGGAAAAACCCTCACTTTCTGGAGTAGTGTTAATTTTATTATAAAGAACATTATTTTTCGTTCAGAACAAGGCTTCAAGTTAAAGTTGGAAAAAAAGACAAGAAAAAGTAAATGCAAAAACACAGGCTCTTGCTTCCCTGGTGGTATCTATGTGAGTGTGCCAGATGTTACGTCACATGCACATCCACACGTGGTAACAGGGAATGGAAGAGCCCCACAGGCCTGCAGTACCTGGCTCTTCTCCTTGAAGCCTGTGGTTCTGGACGATTTCCAGAAGCTGCTGGGCAGCCTGGCTGACACTCATGTACCGAGGAGGTTCATAGACCTTCTTTCCCCTGCAAAAACAGAACCAGATGCATCGTTCTCAGCCAAGAAATCAAATAAAGCGTTATGAATGCTATTAATTTACATGAAATTACTATAGAGACTGTTTTTATGCTAAGTCTTTGAAATCTGGCATCTTTTTTTTTTGAGTTGGAGTCTCCCTCTGTCGCCCAGGCTGGAGTGCAGTGGCATGCTCATGGCCACTGCAGCCTCAACCTCCTTGGCTCAGGTGATCCTTCTGCTTCAGCCTTCCAAGTAGCTGGAACCACAGGCACCACCAACACACCCATGCAACTTTTTGATTTATTGTAGGGACGAGGTCTCACCAAGTTGCCCAGGCTGGTCTCAACCCCCCGGCCTCAGGCAGTCCTCTTGCCTCTGCCTCCCAAAGTGCTGTGATTCCATGTGTGAGCCACTGTGCCCAGCTATGGCATATCTTAATCTGGATGTTAAACTTTCATTGGAAATACTTGATCTGTATTTAAATTTCATAAAATTTATGTTTTCAAAAGTAGAGCTGTATATTTAAATTGTTCCAGAAATACTTAAAAGTTTTCCAATCACTAAATTGAGTATGTTTTAAGTTAATTAAAATTAAATGAAAAACTTAGTTCCTCAGTTGCATTAACCACATCTCAAGTGCTCATTAGTCACATGTGGGTACTGGGTACTGAGTACTCTACTTGATACTACTTCTCTAAGCAACACAGGATTAGTATATTATTACATACAGGACAAGAAAAAGGCTCAGAGATGGAGGTGGCTTGCCAAAGAACACATGACTAGAGGTAGACTCAGGATTCAAACCCACATCTTCTGAATCCCAATTTATTAATTCATTCCACAAATACCTACTGAGTGTCTTACCAGAGACCAGCCACTGTTCTCAGTGCTATTTCCACTCAATCACACTGCTTATCATTTCATAAGAATTAAAGCGTTTCAATGTTTACAATTATTAAAAGCTGATTTCAACAATCTTTAGAACTCTCGTCATTTAAGTAGTATTTATTGACTTGTTCAAGGAATTTAAATAGATACAACCATTCTCGGAATCAGAACTCACTTGATGAGATTTTCCAAAGACTGCTCCTTTACTTTGATGTCTGTAGGAATTGAAAAACAGTTCTTTTAATTTAATTAAGCATTTAATTCAAAACTCTATGCATCAATTTCAGTTACGAGTCACCTAAATCTTAGGGGACCTTCTTCCCAAGTCTCTGAGGTGCTCATAGGAGAGTGTGTGTGTGACAGCCTTCCCTCACACTTGCATCTTGCCCCTTCTCACAGAAATGCTTGAAGGAGGGAAGCTTGTGGTGTGTTGGGGCCATCAGTTAAAAAGCAAACACGAGCTTGGCCCTGCCACCATCCTGCTGGGATCTGACATCCTGTTGGACCAGAAGACAAAGGAAGGCATGAGATAAACACTGGCATACACGCTGCCTCGCAGCTCATCAAAGTCTCTGTTTCCATTTCTATGAGGCAGATACTGAAAGCCTTGTGATATCCTGTCCTTCCCTAATTTTCAGGCACCAGAACGTAAGCTTCAACGGATGGAACACGAATAGAAACAGCATTCCTGCCACGCTTTAAAAAGAGTCGCTTGCTTTCTTATAACTGTTAAGATGCACTCTCATTATAAATACCCTAATACCAGGGACTCATACTGCGGGTGGAGCATTAGAGCACTGACCATGACCACACAGAGACCGACCAGATGCAACCTCTGCTCCTGTGTCCAGAGCCCAATCTTGGTGCCCCTTTCTAGCACCAACGCTCAATGCACTATCTGGTGAGGGGTAGAAGGGCAGACTCACTCCACATCCGCCCCGGAACTTGGTACACAGCAGTGGGAGCAACAGCTGCTTCCTGTTCTACAGGCTGAAAACAAGTGGTTCAGCCAGAGTCGGCCCTTGCAGAAATAAATACAGTGCAACTGCAGTGTCCTCAGCACACTCCCACAGTCTTCCTGAGGGATTCTAGAAGGCTTTCTCATAAAATGCTAAAGCCTTTGCTAGAAAATTATAGCAGTGATTAACCTTAAATATGTATTTTTAAATGTTCTTGGAACCAGGAGCAAAGCCTTTTTCAGGTTTGAAATATCATTAGCTATTTAATATTTTTACTTGTTTTGTACATTATGGCAAAAAAATGAGTATCTGCTATTGAAAACACAGACACCAATACCATTAGTGGTGTAAGCCAACTTTTGATGTCCCCTAAGTGACGTTTGCAAGATTTTAAAAAATTCAACACATTATTAGTTCATTCACCTTGAACATCTGAATGTTATTTGTGATTTTTCCTATTTTCAGTTTTCTTAACTTTTTTAATGATATGCTCTACAGAATCTGATTTTTAAGATGAAGATGACTGAGGGGAACGTACACAGGCAAATGCCTTTCGATTAAGCGTAAGACTGCGTTCACACATGAGTCTCAGGCTGGACCAGTCTTATCACTTTTCCCTTGTCTTCACACAGGCCACGATTTTTCCCCTCTGCTTCTACGTATGCATCTTAGTTCCAGGACCTGGCTTAACACGAGGTATTCAGAAGACACTCCACAAATATCTTCCGGACACATTTACGCCTATGCCTCCCCCACCACCTACCTTTATGGCAACATAGTCCCAGTTCCTTCATAAAGTCCTTGTTGACTTCCTCGCAAATGTTTTTGTTCTTAGAACGATCCCCGTGATTAACACTACCTTTTATTACTCTCTAATTACATCATCTATCTTGGTCTTTGTAAGTAAATGTTCAATTCTCTGCGGTTTCTCCCCTGGGTTTATTCTCACTAATTTCCATGGTACTTGGACCACAGCAGGCATTCAGTAAGTACATACTAATTTAAATAACAGGAATGCCAGAGGCTCACTGGTGAGGACTATGGCTTGAGGGTGTGGATCACTACATCCTAGCTTACACCCTTTTCCTGCTTTAGTTAGTATAGCAGGGAAGATGTGCTGCTTAACCTTGTTTGTCTTTTCCCAGGAAAGCTAAGACGCAGTTCTTGGAAAGAGAACTCAGAAGCCAAGTTCCGTTTGTCCTTCCTGCCTCTCCACACAACAGAACTGAATTGTCCTTAACCTTTCATGTGTGTAACACATTCGTTTCAAACCAAATTTAAAAATTGAGGCAGGACACAGGTCTAACACTTCCCTAATATTCCCAAAGAACCTTGGGATCAGGCATCGAGTAAGCACTCAACAAACACCTATAAGCTGACTTCCTACCTGCCTTTCCAGAGCTCTCCAAAGAGGAGATGCCTGCTTCCCATCTCCCCCTTTACAGGGTGTGGGGGTTACCAGGCAGGTTGCCACTCCAACTCTCCTTTCCTTACTGTCTTAAAATCCTCTGTCCTGTTGACACACACACTCTCTAGTGTCCAGTGCCGGCTGCCCTCTCTCTGTTGTCCTAAACCCTCCACCCTGTTGACACACACTCTCTAGTGTCCCAGCACCGGTGAATCCCATTTCTTGTCCCTCAGCTATATATACTTCGACTTCCTCCTTTAATCCAAGTTCTTTATCAGCTCTCCTTCCCCCACTGTTCCACTCTGACCTTCTACCTATTGCTGGTCTTAGCTGGATCTAAGTTTGGGATAACAAGATGGCCATATCAGCCAGGCATGTTCCTCTAATGCAGAACTTTGGGAGGCCGAGGAGGGAGGACTGCTTGAGGCCAGGAGCTCAAGACTGCTCTGGTCAACACAGCAAGGACCTTGTCGCTATTTAAAATAATAAATAAGCCAGGCTCGGTGGCTCAGCCTGTAATCCTGCGCCTTTGGGAGGCTGAAGTGAGTGGACTGCCTGAGCCTGCGGGTTTGAGACCCACCTGGGCAACTTGGCGAGACCGCATCTCTATAATAAATCAAAATGAGCCGGGTGTGGTAGCGCACTCCTGTAGTTCCAGCTACTCGGAAGGCTGAGGCGGAAGGATTGCCGGAGCCCAGCAGGCTGAGGCTGTGGTGGCCGGGAGCGGCCCCTGCACTCCAGTCTGGGCGACAGAGTGAGACTCCAACTCAAAAAAAAAAAATAATAATAATAAATAAATAAATAACTATATCTGATGGTATAGTCCACATCAATTCGCAAGTGCCTTACAGCATTCTTATTAGTAAGGACTACAAAAAAGGTAGACCAGACTGAGCGCAGCGGCTCAAGTCTATAATCCCAGCAGTTTGAGAGGCTGAGGTGAGGGGACTGCCTGAGTCCATGGGTTGGAGAACTTGGCGAGACCTCATCTCTAATTGAGAAATTAGCCAGGTGTGGTAGCAAGTGACTGTAGTTCTGACTACTTGGAAGGTTGAGGCAGAAGGACCGCCTGAGTCCAGCAGGTTGATGCTGGGGTGGCTGTGAGCGTGCCACCGTACTCTAGCCTGGGTGACTGGAGTTAGACTCCAACTCAAAAAAAAAAAAAAAAGGATGACCAGTCTAGTTTTACAAGGAATACCCAAGGACAAAATTATAAAGCTAATTAATTAGTTATTAATGAAGCACTAAGTCACACCAGTAACAAACCAAAATAAGAAAACATACCAGTTAATTGTGAAATACAGGCATAAACCAAAAGAAAACATGTCAGAGAAGCATTTATGGCCTGGACTAGATTCAGAACTAATCAGGAATCAATGTGATCAGAATGAAGGGTGGATTCTGGTTGGAACTGATTAAATGAGCAAGAGTTACAGATTTTCTGTGCCAGTGAGTACTAGGACTAAGTCTGAGAAAATAAACTAAACAAAATGTCAACCAACTAACTTCCGCAAATATTTACTGAAGCCACATTGTGCCAGACTTGCAGATACAGCAAAAGCAAGACCACGTCCCTGCCCTTATGAAGAGAAAAGAAATCGACTAAGCTAACATGGTAATTCCAATGGGGAGTAAGACCATGAAGAAAACAAGGGGCTCTGATGGACAAATGGTCAGGTGTAGAAGGTTGGCAAGGCTCTCCCAAGGTGGGTGGAGCTGCAGGAACCAGTGTTTGCAGGAACAGCAAGTGGCATTTGGAACAGGATACACGCCTCCCTGGGAGCTGGGAGAGTGGCACACCCAGAACAGCTAGTCATCTCTCTTCTTACCTCTAGCTAGTGACTCTAGAACCGTTTTCACCTTAACACCCAGGCAGATGAGAACAACATGGCAACCCCACATGGTGACGGCAGGATCCCAAGCCTCACCTAGCAGGCACAGTGTGTGCATGCCGTTCCGTCTGTTCTTCTTCACTTTGTCAAAGAAGCTTTCTGGTCTCCAAGTGTCCGTCCAAAAAACAATAGAAACTGTCTCTCCAAACTTATACAACTAGAAAAAGAAAGCAAAAACATCAATTAATGATGGAACAACTCACTAACTACTATTTCAAAGATAAGGAGACGTTCAATCCTCTTAAAACCAAAATAAAATGTGATCCCCAGCTTGAGACGGGGATCACATCTGTCACACACACACAAAAGACAGTGAAATTTCCCTGTGGCTCACTGTTGCTGGCATCTTTCTGATGCCCCTTTCAGTAGTAAGCTTCCAGTTATTTCTGCATTCAGTATAGGAATATATGTAACAAATTCATAATTTAGTGATATAGTGGCTAAAAATACTGAATACAAAGAATCTAGGTCAGTTGCGGTGGCTCAGCCTGTAATCCCAGCACTTTGGGAGGCGAAGGTGAGTGGATTGCCTGAGCCCACGGGTTCAAGACCAGCCCGGGCAACTTGGTGAGACCTCATCTCTACAATAAATCAAAAAAATTAGCTGGGCATGGTAGTGCATGCCTGTAGTTCCAGCTACTTGGAAGGCTGAGGTAGAAAGATCACGGGAGCCCAGCTGCTTGATGCTGGGGTGGCCGTGAGTGTGCCATCACACTCCAGCCTGGGTGATCGAGTGAGACTCCAACTCAAAAAAAAAAAAAGCAAAAAAGTCTAAAAGCAAAAAAAGAAAGAAAAAGCAGTCAAAGCAGTTAGAGCAAGTTTCTCAAAGTTACTATCATTCTCATCTTACAGATGAAACCCAAGGCTTAGGCAGATCAACTGACTTAGCTAATGTTACACAGCTCATTAACAAGAAACACTCATCCTAGGTCTGAGGGAACACTCCCTTCCATCACACTAGCTGAAGAGACTCGTGAAGTGCGTCTGCACTCCAGCCCCTGCGCTACACCTCCGCTCCCTTGACTTAAGCATCTGCTCCCTCACCACCGAGTCCACTGACAAGGGCATTCTCCAAGCCTCCTCCTCTGCCCCCATGGCCCATTATTCTTCACCACAACCAAGAAGCCTGCTCCTCCGACCCGGGCTGGCCACACCAGCTCACTGAGATGAGTACAACTCCAAATCTTATGCCGAGAAAAACCTACCTTTGAATTCTGTCTGGGTCTGCAGCTTGTTAGCTGGATAACATTACTCTAAGTCTTTAACTCTAAAATAGGAACAATGATCAAACATTGTCCTTCCTACCCCTACAGTTGTGAGGATAGAGTAACATGTAAAAACTAATGCAAACTGAAGTGGTATACTCATACTAGTTCTGATCTAGGTACTGTGCAAAGACTATTTCTGTATGACGTGAAATTAACACTAAAGTTATTGTATAAAGACTTAACCATTCAACTTAAACAGAACTTGAGAAAATGAATAATAAAGCTGGAAAGCACTAAACTCTGAAAACCACATGCAGCCCCCACCACAAATTAACTGTGTGCCTGAAACAGCCGTGACTAAGCTTTGGTCCTTCCTTTGAAAAATAAGACACTAGTATGAAGCGGGACCGGTCATCCTCTGCTTCCAGTAGCCTATGGCTTCTCAAATCAGCTTCAGAGGCCACTGGAGACAAGGGGAAGACACAGGAAACAGGCCCTCAGGGTCCCACCCACCCCATCTCTAGGGGAGCTTGATGTTCTTGGTTTTTACTGTAACAGATACTCACAATGGTGACTCTGAGTTCTAGAGGGAAGGTTTACCATATTCCTCCCACTCACCTACCAGCAGGCTCTCTTCCCAAAATCCATCTGAAAGCTGTCTGAAAATGTATTCCCTCACAGAAGTCATAGTGTTCACAGCAATCAAATGCACAGGCTGGTGTACAAAGAACCACGTCACTCCAAGTACTCAAGAGTCTTGAATCTTCCTGCCACAGTTGACAAATGTGTTTTACGTTCCAACGTGGGACCCCAGGAATACATTTGCTTGTGCCATGCCACCGGGAATGGGCCTGGGCCTGCTGAGGGCTTGGCATTTCCATATGCTTGAAGAGGCACTGGCTTACCAATACATACTTGTGCGAGCACCTGCTGCAAGCCAGGCATCACACTGGGTGCAGGCTGAAGTGACGAGCAAAGCACAGCTCCATCCTCATGGGTTACGGCCCTGCTCCTCTCAGAGAGTAGGCAAAGGCCCCGGAGCCACTCACGGCACTGGGTCTTACCTGCTAGGCAATCATGGACAAGTCAAGTGACCCTCCTCACCCTCAGGAGGGACTTGCCTGCAAAATGAGTGTATTAGCCATAAACAAATGTGGGCCTGGTGCAGAGGTGCACACCTGTAATCCCAGTAATTTGGGAGGCCAAGGTAGGAGGATCTTGAAGCCAGGAGTTCTAGAACAGCCAGGAGTTCAAGACAAGCCTGGGTAACAAAGCAAGACCTCCACCTCCTCAAAAAAAAAAAAAAATTAGCCAGGTGTGGTGGCATGTGCCTGTAGTCCCAGCAATTACTCAGCAGGCCAAGACAGGAGGATTGTTTGAGCCCAGGAGTTTGAAGCTAAAACAGGCTATGATCATGCCACTGCACTCCAGCCTGGGCAACAAAGCAAGCTGCTTGCTGTCTCTTTAAAAAAAAAAGATAAAGGGCAACCCCCTCAGGTTCCCTCCCACTGTGGGAGCTTTTCTGTCCTCTCAATAAATCCTGCTTTCTATAAAAAAAAGAAAAAGAAAGAAAAAAGTGTTTTTAAGGGTTAAATCGCATAAAGCATGAAGAGTGCCTGGTACCACCTTGCACATAGCGAAGACTCAGCTGATGTCAAAAATCTAAAGATGCAATACTGATAATGTTTATAATAATGGCATGAAGAGGTTCAAGAATGTGTGTCCTGCTATGATTCAAGTGCTTGTCTTACTGGAGTGACTTCAAAAATATTACCAAATATTTGAAACTACACTTTTGATTTAATTCTGACAAGTTCAACTATTTATATTCTAAAAGATTTTTTTTTACATTTCTGATCAGGTTTTGAAATAGTAATATTACTTAATGAAAAATTTCAAGGAAAACTATCAAAGTTAAAGAAACTTATATGTGCAATAAATACTTTACATGGGTCTTAAATATTTTAAGAATCATGGACATAAAAAACTAAGTTCATTCAAAAAGCAAGTGACAGACCACTTAAAAAAGCATTGACATGCTGGTCACATAGAAACACTGAGACATTCTGTGTAGAACTGTTTGATTTCAGGGATTACAGAAAGCCTCCCACAAGTGCTGCTCTCCAGGACTCAGATTTATAAACTCTGACCACTCTTGGGGCTGTGGTGCAAACTTCTTCAATGAATCCTGGAACATTACGCAAAGTTTCACCATTTAGCTGTCAGTACCTCAAGGAACAGAAGAACCCGTTCTTTGTGTTTCACAATCCAAGAACTTACCAGTAAACTATAACAAGAAATGAGAGCAAAGCCACATGGTACCGAGAGTGAGGCTGCAGTAGCCTGTGCAATGAGCCATCTCTCAAAGTGGGCCTCGTGCTGGGATCATTTCCCCAAACATTGTAAGTTTAAAGACAAACAGCTGTTTTCAAGAAACAGTAGGTAAACTCAGGTCTATTTTATTTTAACCTGGAGTAGCTTAATAGAGAAAGCAGTTTACCTAACTGGATACTGGATTATGTTTTATTTATTGAAGATAAAAAAACAAAAACAAACTCAACTCAAAACTCCCTTCTGGAGGTACAGGGCATGATCTAGTCAGAGTAAGACGATGTACAGAAAAGACAATATTAAGCAGTAAAAAGAATTATTAGATATTCTATAGACTCTTAAGTATTGTAAGAGTTTAGCACTTCTACTACCATTTAGCACCTGGAAGCGACTTCTGAAAAGACAGAACTATGAGCTGGACTGTAAAAGAGAGGCAAGATTTAGACAGGAGAGACTGTACATAGGGAAAGAATTAGGTAGTATGAAGGTAAAGAGGTGGAAAAGTCCTGGGCAGTATTGAGCAATGAACTCAACATCACCAAGTGCACCTGACCTGTCTCCAGCATGGACCCTCTGACTGACAACTTGCCATGCCAATTCCTGTCTATTCTGGCTGTATAACTGACACCGTGTAACTTGTGCTGAGTACCTGTTTCTTTCCCTAGGACCTTCGCTTGAGCCCACAACTTCACAACTCATCTCATGGCTGTCACTGTGTCTTTCCTTTCGGAAGCACAGCTCCATTTTAGGCGTCAATGCTTTTGTTATTTTGTACTACAAACACAAATATATTCTGTCATTTTCAAGTTAAAAAAATCTGTTAGATCAAGTTTATTAACATGTGGAAAAATTGGAAAATTAAACTTGTTAATAACTCTGTTAAGCCCCACAGTATCTCTCTCTCTCTCTCACACACACACACACACACTCAAATCAGTTAAATCAGTGAGGTGAAAAAAAGCCAAGACAACAGAATTGTCAAAAAATGCACCATAAAACCACATAACCAAGAGTGGCTAGTTTTCTCTTCTACAGAGAACACTGGTCTGGGGTGGGGGGGGGGGGTGTGGGGGTTGGTGGTTTTTAAACCCACATGCATTCTGCTTAACATTGACGTGACACTGATTTTAGCTGACACTAAGATAGATTATGCACAGGGTCACACACCAGGTACAACAGATAATGATGAATGACTGTGTAGACAGAAGAGCTACAAGGCTTACCTTCTCACACATACATGAAAGAATCCATTTGTGACATAAATTTAAAAATTACAATTGAAGGTATATAATTCCAAAGATAAGATCCAACTCTGGGGTGGGAGGTGAGGGGAGGAAATCAATCAATACATGAGAATGTCATTCCACCAACACATGCTGCATGTTGATTATATGCATGGCCCTGTGGTCATGTGCAAGGGAAGATGTGGAGACGAGTGAGTGAGCCGTGATATGGTAAAATCAGAAACACATGCAAGCAACGGAGCATTCTGTAGAGGATGGGGATTAATTTACCAGAGCTGTTTGAACAGAAGAACGGCACAATCAGACCCACAATTTAAAAGAAAACTAGGAAGTAGAAGAGAATGATGGCAAGGCAGCTGTTATAATAATTACTA